AATTTGTTTCATATTCCAGTGAAATATGTGATGAAAAAATGCAGAACATGAATTGATGCTCTGTGAATTTTTTCTTTGTCATTTAAAATTAAAGAACATGACCTTATTTTCTCTGGTGCTGCCGAGTGTTGTAAATATGGAAATTTCTACAGTGCAAGTATTTGGCTTTTTAATTCATATCATTCAGTCATCCAATATTTGTTTTGAGTCTTTTGTTTTTCTTGTTTCGCATTTTTATTTTGTTTTGTTTTCAGCCATCATTTTGTCTTATCATCTTCAATTCTAGAGCAACCTGACAACAATAATGATACTACTGAATTGGGCATCCTTGTCATTCCCGAGATTAGTGTCACAAATGTGGCCGGAGAGAGAACCGGGAATGGGGAAAAAGGCAGAACACTAGGAGAGATTGATGCTCAGCATATACAGGGTGTGCAGGAAACAGCCACAGATCCTAGAACTGAGAGCAAAGGCTTGCCAGAGATCAGGAGGCAAAAATCTGTAAGAAAAATGATGGAGGATGGAATAAACTCACCTGGCAGAGTACAGTTTTAGCAGAGCACTTTATAGCTGCACTCCAAGGTATCTCAAGGCAAAGGGCCACTGATGCATGCTAAGCAACAGTTGCACAGTCACAAAAATTTTGCATGTCATCTAATAATCCAAATGCATGAATTGTACACGATTTCTCAATGACTCTTAATGCTATTTGGAATGGTCATACCTATACTGTCTCTGAGTAAATTGTTATGAAAACTGAGGCAGAAAATTGCTTCCAAAAGAATTTTCTGCTTATGTTTTAAGATCTGAAATTATTTTTCATCTTTGCATTTTTGCCATTATTTATTTGAAGGATAATGTATATAAACTTTTAACAAGTTTCAGCTTGTGATATTTATAGTCTAGATTTTTTTTAATTTGGTAAAATAATCTACAATATAGAAGGCAACCTTCTAAAATAATCTCTTTATAGTACTCAAATACCATTTTTTAAAAAGTTCTTTGATAAGAGCTTTGATTTTTATACAGCTTTGCTACGAGGGGAGGATTTACCCTACTTTTACTATGTGTTAATTTTTCTAATTATTTCTGATCTTTTGCATGTATAATAGGAGAACTCTTTCTAAAAACAGAATGGGGTGTGGTTTATGGCATGCTTTTTGTTTAATACACTCTAAATTACTGTCATTTAATTACAATGAGCTATTTTTGACATTTTTTAAAATAAATGTTTTGATTTATCCTTTGATTTTATTCTATAATCTGTTGCCTTATGAAATTATGCTGAAGTTTAATTTATTCAAAGTATAACTGATATGGTATTAATCATTTTAAAATGATTGCTTAAAATACTTAATGTTAATTAATCTTTGTCATTTCTTTGTTTAGGAAATACAGAATTAACAGGTCAAGAAGAACTGATGGAAATATCTGAAGTTGACGAGGGATTTTATTCCAGGGCTGCGTCTAGTACCAGCCAGTCGGGTTTATCAAACAATAGTCACAATTGTAGTAACAAGACAAGTGTAGGAAAGAACCAGAGACGGTCAGGAGGAAGCAAAACTGGAGGAAAAGAGAAAGAAACTACAGGGGAATCTTGCAAAGATCACTTTGCTCGAAAGCAAACTCAGAGAGCCCAAAGTGAGAATCTTGAGCTTCTCTCTTTGAAGAGACTTACTCTAACAACCAGCCAATCCCTACCTAAGCCTAGTAGCCACGGTTTGGCTAAGACCGCGGCGACTGTGTTTAGTAAATCCTTTGAACAAGTCAGCGGTGTCACAGTCCCACACAACCCGTCGTCTGCTGTTGGTTGTGGGACTGGGACAGATGCCAATAGGTTTTCCGCTTGTAGTCTTCAAGAAGAAAAGCTTATTTATGTTTCGGAAAGAACGGAACTTCCAATGAAGTATCAATCAGGTCCGCAGAGACCTCCTAGTATTAGCGTTACTCTGTCCACAGATTAATTTGTGACATATTTTTCTCCCATAACCAATGAATCTGGAAATATGACTTTGCTTCTTTGTGAAAGTGCCCTAAGTCTTTCATCCATGTTCCTGACAGGATCCCTGACGTCTTAAATTCTGAAGGCTCCCTTGACTTTATGAAGGGAATAATGTCTAGGTTGCAATAAGTTGAAATATGGTTTTGTTATTTCTTGATTGTGATTTTTTCCCCTTGGTTTGAGTCTTTTTTTCTTTCTTATTTGTTACTGTTGCCCTAAGACTATCAGTGTGACAATAAATTTTGGCAGGTTGTCTAATCAAGTTGGTTATATCTGATGTGAGGTTGTGAGATTTGTTGTTGTTGTTTTTTCATTAACTCCTATTTTGGTGGCTGTGTCTTTGGCTTCAGAGTCAAAGGGAGTCTCCATGTGTGGGAACTGTTTTATAAAGGATGGGATGGAGGAACAACTCCAGGAATTCTACTGTGGGGCAGTCAGGAAGCCAGTCTGAAAAACGGGCCCATGAAAACACAAAAATGATGTGTATGAAAAGTGCCTGATGAAAATGTTTGTGACAAGATCGTCTTTAAGATTAGAACAGTTTAGTCAAGGCACTGAAAAATGCCTGGTAACTCAGTACCTAGAGTATTATATGAGTCCAGGGGATGAGCAGGGGCATTTCTGATATCTTTTGAACATTTTTATATCAAAAATCAGATTGCTGGTAGGTGTGTTGAAGTGTTTGATCTGGATTTAGCAGGTGAAGATTGCTTTCAATTCCTAAGGTGTAATAGGCCGTAAAGCTGATTTACCCTGCTCCTGGACTTTGGAAATCCTAGTTAGTTTGGATTCCTATAATTCAGAGCACACATCATTGAAGACTTCCTGGAAATCATTGTAAATCTTGCAACACAGCTCTCAAGATACCAGTATCAACTATATAATATTGAATTGTTTGTCTGCAAATGAAGGAAATTTGATAAATTTTTCATCTGTAAAATGTCACAAAAAGATGAAGGTAGTGAAATATGGACAAAGGACATTTATATATTAACTAATTTAGGGTTGTTTATGTCTGTGCTCTTAAATTTAAAATATGAGAAAAATGAAATGTGTTTCTTGGTTGTGAACAGGCCTATTTTAAATGTTCTTATTATGATGTAGAAGGAATAATCAATTTTGTTATCTCCCAACAAAAGAATAAAAATTAAAAATGTGATATGACAGAAGCTAAACAAACTTGTATGTAGCTGTAGAGGACTGTGTGACCTTTAGATGGACATAAAAATTCGGTGTTTGCTAGTGGTGGTCCTTTCATCTATGGTTGAGGCTCCCTGTAAAGCAAGCGTACGTAAGTAATAATTTGGAGCGAGAGGGAAAGCAGGCCTGAGGCTGAGAGACAGTGACTGGGGAGGAAGGCCTGAGCAGCTGTCCAGCTGCTGGGCTCTTT